TTGCAAATTATGTATGAAGGGTATTTTTGGAAATTAATTTTTTCTGTAAGGTTTCTGTAAGTAGGTTTTCTGTAAGTATATCTTTTCTCAAATTAAAATGAGCGGCACTAACTAAAAGAGACACAAAGGCCATTTTGTCATGAGTTGAAATTTGCTGTCCCCTTTTTTACTGTCCAATTTGTTGTCTATCCAGTTAATTATTGACACATCATTTTGTGAGAGAGAAAGTGTTTAACGGTATTAAATAGTTGTTTAAGTGAGAAATTAAAATTGAAAATATGTTAATTTAAAATAATTTGTCAATAATTAATTGGGTGGACAACAAAAATTGGACAGGAGATTTCACATCGCTTGTCATACACTAATTAAAAAGATTTCTCTACCCATTAAAATGCTCCTGAGTCCTGACTCAAATTTAACAATTGATGTTTTCAAATTGTTATTGAACACGAGATTTTGGGAATCAAACGATTGAACAACTAGGAGCAATATCATGATCCATGTTTTGCTACACCAAGTTATTACCTTAACCGTAATCGATTTGGACGCTGGGTTAACTGGTTCTCATGCACATTATAGGGCTTGATGAGTGGCCTTTCTCCGTGCTTCTATCGAGTGAAGGGCCGAGCCTACGCTTCCTTCGAATAAGAACCATTTTCGAATAGCTATCTCGAATTCCTTCCTCGAAGTGAGGTCGTCTTTTCGACCGGAGAGATTGAGATTCTAGGAAGAAAGTTTTTCCTGAGGTTCAACTCGAAAATTGGATTCTTTTCGTAACCAAGAGGTGAGGAACGAATTATCCTCCAAAAAAAAAAAAAAAAGTGTGAGTCTTTGGAGTGTGCCTTTGTACTAAAACCCATATGGAGAAAGGACAATTGTATATATAAATGTCATGTCCCTGTTTTGGGAACGCTATTTCACCCAAAGAAATTGATTTTTGCACTATCGTGTGCGTCGCCTTTCAATTTTTTAATGCAATGTCAAGTGTACCATAGTCATATCTTTTTGGATTTTACCTTAGCTTAGTTGGGTCCAAATAGAATTTAGAATTGTTTTCTAGTAACTGTAGGAGTCGTTAGTTCTTTTTGACTATTGAAAAATCAAATCATAGAAACGAACAAAGCCATATATATAGATTCTCAGTAAGCGAGGAACTCGACCTCTTCCTTGGAAGACCCTGTACTGCTAAAGAGGGGCTATGGAGATGAATGCCGGTACCGTAGATCGAGGCTGAGCTGGTGACCAATGAGGCCTATTTTACCCTTTTATATTAAAGG